AGGAACCTAAGTCACAGTATAGGCAGGGATTTGCAGACTGAATCCCACTCAATATTTTTATCTTCTGACATCTTAAATGAAGCAATTCAATCACCTATGTCAGCAGGCTGATTTATTTGTTCTTCCATCTTCTGTGTCTCCTTAAGAGAGTCTTCACCAGCTTTTGAGCTTAGAAAAACATTTGAAAATGCCAAACAGATTTTATGCAACTGCATTTACAGATCAGTTTAACAGTTTACAGTTTAACAGCCTGGGCCTTCAACATTCAGAATGTAGCCAGCATAATTGTTTCTTTTCCCATGATTTTGAATCCATGATTATTTCAAAGTCCCCACCCGACTCTGGATGGAGTCACTGTGAAGCATTACCTCTGAACTTGACAACAGAATTCACCTTATTTGACACAGTTTGGTGCTGTTGTAATACAAGAGCAGGAGGGAGGGGATGAGGGGCAGAAAGACATCCCAGGGAATGAGCAGCAAGTGCTTGCACAAAACTTTCTTTCAGTTCAAGTATGAAAAATGAGATAAATGGTCAAACTGCAGACATAATGTATGCAGCAGGAGCCAAAGGCTGCTCCCCAGACTGGCAGCTCCAGAAACCATCAGCACTGGATCCTCTTAGCAATTACCAGCTTGGAAATGTCCTCCCATTGATTGTGATGGACATAAACCAGCTGAGTCTAAATAGCGAGAGAACAGAGGGAGGAAGAGCCAGACAGCAGGACACAAACAGCACCAAACACTGGGACCAGCTGCAGCCTTCAGGTCACACTTCCATGTCAACAAAAAATGTTATTTAATATTTTCCAAATACTGAAGTAATTCATCACAAGGTATAAGTGGATCTATAATGTCTGAGATTGCTGGTTGAAGATTAACTGCATGTATCACATTTCCAGTGCAGCAACTTCAATGGGAAACAAAATAGCCTGAACCTCATGGGCAAGGCACTTATTCATTTTCTGCAGTAGCAGGGTTCCCATGCTGGCCAGCCTCAGCCATGTCATTTAGGAAATCTTCATGCCAGAACATTTGTATGCATGAAGGACGGTGTTAAAGCAGGACAGTGCCAGCCTGTCGGAATTCAGCTGATGTGAGAGTCTGATCAAATGTACGCAGCTGCCTTCATCTAATCTAGAGCCTGTATAGGACAAAATTACTGTGAATCACCAACTGAGACAGGAAGAGCTTGATTATTGTTTAAACGTAGAGAAAAACTGGAAATGAATGGATCACTACTGGAGGGTGCCTCTAAAAATATCTACTCTCCCCTGTAAGTCTTCAGGACTTATGGACACCAGGCTTTGCGCCTGCCAGAGGTGGCACTTCCAGAGAGGCAGAGCCACAGCAAGCTGCCTTCACTCACACACTGCACTTGCTTTTATAACAGAACAAAGAGCTTTAAAATACACAGCACAGAGGGATGTCTCAGCACAAATTTTATAGAGAGGTGGAATTTTGCCACATATCCCAAAGCATATATGAAAATAAAAGAGTTTGGAAGTGGCTTTTAATTTTTTGCTTATTACTTTTTAGCACATCTAACTCAATCTATATCTGTGTCAATTTTATCTAGAAAACCCCAGTAATTAATAATTCAACCCAGAGTCATCCAGCAATGGTAATGGCTGACATTTCTGTTCCCAGGCTTCTGTCTGCATTGCAGCTGGACTCCAGCATTGCTGACATTGCCTCAAGAGCAATGCTCAGGTAGCAACTGTGGGACAAGACAGTTCTGACAGGAACTTCAGTGCTGTCCCCTGTATTGTCCCTTCAGAACAGTCACTTCCTGGGAACACTGATTAAATGCAGCACTTGTATGCCACACTACCAGACCTCAGGGCTGGGTTCATGCGCCCTACTGCAGGTGTCCAAATCTTAGATGGACAAGTCTGAATACAGTAAACAGAAAGAGGAAAAAAAAAAATAATCCCTCAGCATTTAAGCAAAACCTCTCATCTGACCCCAAAAAATTCTTTTCCCCAACAATGTTCCTTCAACAATTTTTAAAATAATGATTTTCTACTGAGAATAAAGTTCAGTGCTGACAGTTTAAAAGTCTAGTACAGCTTTTTCCTCTATACACATCCAGTCAGCTGGAAAAGCACTGCCAGAATCATTTGTTTAGAATGAAGAGGGAGGAGGACATGCCTGTTCTGGTTTTCTTTTTCAATTTTTTTTTATTATTTTTAAGAGCTCTCTCATTTTTCCGAGAGCAGTACAAAGGCTTGTCAATACACATCTATCTGAAACTGAAACCCTAAAAAGCAAGAACTGCTGTATACGTAGCCAGCAAAATTTCAAGCTCCTTTCTGATAAAATTCCATCTTTCAACAGCTCTTCTAAGAGTTAGCTTTGCACTAGAGTGAAGGAGGTGTGGTAAAAAACATTCCCTGATATGTTGTCAAACATACAAACTTCACTCACAATATGGCTTGTTTGAATTCAGTTTCATGTAAATTTGAAACAAGCATGCCCTTTTTTTTCTAAGAAACAGGCAGCATTGTCCTGCATTTTTGTACTTCCCATCATAGTTAATAACACTCTCTCAGGGTGCCCAGCTGTATTTAGCAGAAACCAGTTTGAACCCAGCACAGACAAATTCTGCCCTAGAAGTCAGATATATTAATTAGCTAATAAGTGAGGGGCTGAAGGAACAAGCTTGACAAGAAACTTCCAAGTGATGTTGTCAGGATAGGGACTTGTCTCAGCATGATCCCAGCAGGAGAAACCACCAGGAAGAGGGAAAGTTCCCTGCCTAACATGCAAGGGTTGGCTATAGCCAAGACTTTCGGCACGACAAGAGAGGAGCAGAGCAAAGTAGGACTTTGCCCTGCCTGGAGGAGATGTGAACTTTAAATCATTAAAAAGAAAAAGAGGGGGATGACTGACAACTGATGAAATCAATTTCCTTTATCAGAGCTGGAAGTCTCACAATTTGCAAAGCTTATGGCAATTACAGGACCTTCTTCCCTTCTAGGTTCTGTGGGTTTATATATTTATGACTTTCTGTCTGTGTGCTGAGATCTCTGCCCTGCAAGCTGATCCATGAAGTCAGACCAGAGAAGTTTCTGCACAGTCAAGGGGTTGCTCTGGGGAAAGGGCTCCCCCAAGATGAGGGTGTCAGAGATGCCATGGTGCCAAGTGAAAGTGGAGGAAAACTCCTACCCAGAAAAATGTGCCAGGTAAAGGAAAGGGATTAACCCTTGAATTCAAAAAGGCAAGAGGAGATTTTTAATTGACAAACAAAATGAAGAAGTGATTGATTTTAAAACCCCTGACTTGTGAGAATGCAGAACATCACTGCACAGAATTAGCAGCAGCTCTAAAAGAAGTAAGAAAACCTATCTTGGTGAAACATGTTACAAAATTTGGTACTGTCCTTCCTGTTCAAGGTTTCCCACGAAAAAGCAAAAAAAACCAATGCAAATTTATCTTGATTTGGGTGGGTTTTTTGAAAGAAAAAATGATAAACAGATGAGGTGTCATTCTATGTAATTCACATATTTCACTAGTTTGAAATATGTAACATTATTTGTGCTGTTTGTGTTGGTGATGTGTCCTTACAGCATCACCTCAGAGGCCAACCATGCTGTGCATACATGTCACAGGAGCCAGTCCCATGTGTCCCTGCACACACACACACTCCTTCTCCCCATTTCTAGTCAAAATAAACACAACAGGCAAAAGGTCTGAAGAGAACCCACAATTAGAGAGCTGAAATGTCCTTGTTTGCAGCGAGGCAGCAGTGAGGCAGCACGTTGATGGGAACCTCGCCCAGACACCCATGCTCAGCTCCACCAGGAGATTTCACCACTTCTAAATACGCTACTGAAGTTGGGAAGCCAGGCCTTTACTTCAAAGCTGAATAACCCTCCATCCTTCTTTTTGAGACATGGACTGGAAGGACTGTCCACTTCCAACCAATAACACAGTATTTAAGGCTCAGTTCTGGTTTTTGGGAAGCAAAGCAGAGCAGGAACAAAAGAAGAGGAAGCTCTGCCTTACCTCCTGGCATGTTCAATTTATGCCACTATCAAAGCTCTGCACAAACGGAGACACAGGTGTGCCCAGCTCATTTGGCAAGTAGTTTGGATATGCCTGTATGGGGTGATGCAATGTCCAAACACCTGCCTTTTCTCCTGAATACACACCACAACCTTTCTGGTTTGTTCTCCCCACAAGAAAATATGTGAATAAATTACTTACTTGTTCTACAGGGTGTTGAAAATATAAATTCATGAAAAACAAAAGATGCTTGGACCCCATAACAAGGGAATCGTCCTTCTATTCTGCAAGAATTATTTTAGCAAAAAGCATCTGACTGTTACCAAGTTTAAGATTTTTTTTTTTTAAGTGCCAAAATGTGTGTACAAATGCATTTGAATATAAAACTTGATACACTCTGTACTTTAAAAAGGACAGATCCTTCTCTATGCTGATTTTTTTTTAAAAATGGTTCAAAAACAATAACCTGCCCTTCACCACCCCCGGACTCTTATCCAGAGGCTCTGCCATGTGCCTAACTAATCAAAGTGTTGTGTTATGATTGCCATGGAGACTGCAATCCAGCAGCTGCCTTGACATTTCATCTTCAGCTGCTTTCAAAATGCTTTCTTTTTGCCAAGGAAAACTTTTCACAATTTTTTTTTTTTATTTTTATTTTTATTTTTATTTTTATTTTTACTACACACTCTTCCCTCCACTACAAAAGAAATATTTAGGAAAAAATCAGCGGAAATTGCCTCAGTTCTAACAACATATTTTGATAATTGCTTTTGTTCTCCTCTCAAGCAATTTTAAAGGTTTCTGAGGCTTTAAACTAAAAGCTTCTGCTTTATTTTGCAGACCAACTGATAATTGTGCACTACTGTGTAGGGTCACCACAGGTGGCCAGGAGCAATCTGCAGCTCCCAGGTGCAAGGGCAACTTCCCAGCCCTACCCAGCCTGCTTAAAGGGATACACCAAACCCATCCTCACCTTCCAAGCCACCCAAATCAGCCATCTCACTTTGATGTCTCCCAGTCATGCTGCTCACTCTACCACCAGCGCTTTCATCTCCATGGACACCTCTCCTGGAACTTTAAGGCTGTTGCTACTTCTCTTCTCTTTTGAGGAGGTGAGTAGATAAGATAGTAGAGAATACAACTAAACATGTCTATTTTTTCCTGCCTTAAAAGAGAGAAGGTTGTTCATCGTGAAGTACCTGGTGGGTGTGGAAACCCCCGTGAAAGCTTTTGGGGGAAGCCAAAGGGGGTACAGAGGTAGAAGACCATGATCCCCCACTTGTGGCATAGCTGTAGGGTTTAGCATCTGAAGTGGCTACATTTCATGTACAGACAGGGATAAGAAAGCACCATACAGATTTTAAGGACATACAGAAGAGCTCTGCTAACTGATGATTCATTTTACTGCTATTCATTTCACAAACAAGCATTTTTTAATTAACTAAGCTGGTGGCCCCCTTTCTTTTCCGAAGGAGGGAAGGTCATAGCTTTCCTTTGAGCAGCCTGGGACACATAAGAAAGAACCTTCTCTGCAGCCTTTCACAGCACTTGCCCCCAAAGATGCTTTCCCGTCCTAGTCTGCACTCAAGGATGTCTCAGATAGACTGGTGCCAAGAAGGTGTGGCTGGAGACATGCTGGGGCATGGAGATGTGCGCAGGACATATCAAAAAAAACATTGATTCAAAATCCCAGTAGATTGGATCATCTGCAGCTTGGCCAAGGTAGGAGACACATGCTATATGTGTGTGTGTGTGTGTATGTAAGTTCTCACAACAGTAAGAATAAGGTTAAAACTCTGAGCCATTTGGCTGAGAAGGAGTAGGGTTTAAAATGAAAAATTCAAACCACTTTTTAACTTTTTTCTTTAATTATAAGGTATGATGACAAATCCGAGTTAAAAACCTTTATCTGAAAAGCATGTATGCTTAACAGGAGGAAGAAGGAAAACACCTTCAGAAGCAGTCAGCTTCCTGTCTTATGTTTTTGAAGCCGAGCTGATGGCTCACAGAACGGATCTCTAATATGTATATATATAATCCCCAGACCTAAAAGTCGTCTATTTTAAAAGACAAGTGTTTGCTCACCCAAGGAACATTGTAGTCAAGCTTTAGACTTTGTGATCCATATGGGTTTCATCAACTTGTTTGCCAGGAATTTAAGAAAAACAAACTTTATTCATGTTCCTTAGAGAAATTAATCCACTTTATGGTCTGCACAAAAAGAAATACAGCTTCAGAAAAAAAACAACAAAAAACACCCAGGGCATTCCTGGAACTGGAAGGTCAGAGAGCCAAAATAATGGATCCACTTAATATGAGAAATGAGTGACTTGCAGTGGCATCATTATCAGCACTGGAAGTACATGGCTCCAGCTTAGAAAGTGATTTCATGTTACATCTCATAAAGGACCCCCAATATTAAGTGCTTTCCCAAGCCCTCCTAGAACCAGGCACTGCCACTGCTCTGAGAGCAACATTTACCTTCAACTTAAAGATGGGGTGTATAATCCACTAGAAGCACATGTTCCTGGAGACTTACCTCTGAGGAGTTAAACTTAGATGAGATGAGATCTATTCCATATAACCCTGTAACATGCCTTGGCATATTTGTTTGTGTGTAAAGAATTTAGTTATATAACCCATTGTTTGGTTTTCCAAGCTTGATAAAAACCTGTGGACCTCTACATAATTTTATCAGTATTTTGTTTTCTGAATCACAAAGAACAGGCAGTTTCAGTAAGACGTGTCAATATACATTGCTGCTGCAAACAGAGGTGTTTATCTCCAATGACACTCGTTTTAAAAGTACAGTCTAATACAGGAAATATAAATTCTGATTCATTCTTAAAGCAAATAATTATGCAGATTAATCTCTATACTGCCCAAATTTAAATAGGCAGCCTAAAATTAATGCATTGCAAATTTTATGATTGCAACATTCTAGTAGGGTATCTCACCAGCTTTTACAGAAAGCTGTATTTCTGCTCCATGAGTGGTTTGTTACATTGAATTAAGGTTGCATTAGAACCCTTTCAGTAAGTCAAATCACATTACTCACTCATATAGCATTCTTGGCAAGCATCAAAAAGCATGTTTAATAGTTAGGAACTGCGAGATTGAGCCAGACAGTGATCTGATGTTTAAAACAGGACTAGGCACCTTAAGTCAAAATTGCAGCAGAGGGAAAATAATAAAACTAAAATTATTTATGTTCTTAAGCCAAAAGGCACTTACTATTGGAAAATGTTTTTACATACCCCTGTATCCTGAACCGAGTAGAATAATTTAGCCTTTTCTTCATATGTTACTGTGAAAAGTAACTTGTGAAACCACAATTGTTCTTCAAACAATATTGAGGAAAAAACCCATAGCTGATCTGTTCTTAGAAAATGAACCTGATCTATTTTAATGGTGCATGTGGGACCTGCACAGCCTGGTGCTGGCAGGGAGGGAGGGAGGGACTGTCCCCTTCTGTCCCCAGCTGTAAGGGCCTCAGCAGCATTTCCTCCATCCCTTTCTCTGAGCAGTGCAAAGGGACCAAATCACATGAGCAAATCCATGGTTACCCCTGTTTAGCATTCAGGCAATGACACTTGGCTTGCTTTTCTCACGGCAACAACCTCCCTCAGATGCATTCCCTCTTGGCTGTCCATCTTTCAACAAGTCTTCAGGTGGCTCATGGACAGACACTAAGAAAGTGAAAAGTCCTGCACTTCATGTGTTAATTTTTATGCCAGTAATGACTAGCTGTTTACTTTTTAAACAAATGCCTGATATACGGTGCAACTGGCTGAGTGCACAGCCAAAAACAGACCACAGGAAATCTCTTTGACAGCCAGGAAGGCAGAATTGTTAACGTGCGTCTGCATTACAGTTAATTTTTTTTTTTTTTATAATTAAAAATAAAAAAGGTTGTGAGATCTCAAGGCAAAAAGTGGATGCTACAGAAAAACCAAAACCACAAATGGCTGGTTTCTAAGAAGAGGCATCTATGAATAGCACAGGCATAAATAACTTTTTCCATTTTATCTGAAGGATTATTGTGGCTTTTCACCCCAGTTTATTTCAGCGGAAGTAAAGACGACTCTGTAATACCAAGCAAATAAACCAGCCTAATAAAAAATGTTCACTAGAGATAAGAAAGCACACCAGGTTATTTATTGCTGTATTTTTATATTTTGTTTCTGTTCTCCTTTGATCTGTGCTAACACAGGCATTAAACTGACAGCTTAGGGTCACAATACGCACCAGGATATTGAAAGGCGGTCATGTATAACGGAGTATCAAATTGTTCGTTTAGAGCAAGTTTTGCTTAATCAGTTCCCTGGGATCTAGCTCCATCCATAAAGATAAAACTAGCTTTTTAAAAAATTATTAGATAGAGAAACTGCGCGTGCTTCTGGTTTTCTAAGGTGTAAACGTCTGCAGCAGATACCGAGATTGATTTTACTTCCAGTTACAGTGGTGTAACAAGAGTTGCTTCACAGACGGCAGAGGAATTTCAGCAGTAAATGAAAAAAGAATAAGGCTCATTGTGCTTTTAATTTTGTTTCATGTAGGCAAGAGGGGAGAAAATTGATTTTAGTCCCAGCCTTTTTTTTCTCATACATGTCACTGATGCATTTTCAACCCTTGGAGAATTGGTGAATGTGGGAATACAGGCTCTAATACAAAACACTTGGCCTGTTTTCAGTTCCTAACACATACTCCAGAGTTCATGTTATGGTTATCAGAAAGAATCTATGAAAAATGAAGCTGCACACAACTGCAGACCATCAGCGTGGCTTAACCCCGTCAGGCAGGGATGAAGCAGGAAGTGCTTTGTGACACTGACTGGCAGAAATACAAACTGATGAAGAAAACACGCGGCAGGAAAGAGGGTCTTAGATGGTGGGTTAGAGCCGAGGACATTAACTACAACTATACTCTGCCAGGGCCAAGATCAGAGGAGCTTGACATACTTGTTAAAGGTTTCATCAAAAGGATTAGTTCCAGCAGCTTTTTTTAACCTTTCCTACAACACAATTTACCCAAAGGTGGCCGAGGGCAACAAGGGCTGCCCTGTGAGATAACATTTTTAATTGTACAAATGCCATTCTTGATGTCATAATCCCGAGGTTAATGCAGTTGCAGGTCCTGAACAGATGTGGTGTAGGCTGCCCCATCCTACAGAGAGGTGGCCAAGAAGGCAGTGAAAATGACCACAGTTCAGAAACAAGTTTACCTACTGTCCCGAGTGTTTTCCTAATTTCCCTATGTACTTTTGCACTGTTTGAAATGGTCTCTGCCCTTATGTAAAGCAAGCAAACAAACAAAAATACTGTTCATGCAATGTGTTACCAAGAATCAACAGCCAAGTATAGCCACTGCCTAATGGCACAGCTCATAGACAGGGCAAGGTGATCCATGAATGAATGGAAGAAAGAAAAAGGGGAAGAACCCAGAAAACTTCTGGATCCCACCATGCTAAATTTTTCACCTTGTACTTCAGAAGTGCTGATTATTAAGTTTTAAAAGGAGAACCCTGACATCTTCTTTAAATTCAACTGCACCTGCTAGATTTTAGAAGAGACCCTATTTTGCACATTTTGGGAATAATTTTTTGATGGGTTTCTGGATGATGGTTTCTCTTCCTCCTTAAAAAAAACCCCTTTTCATTTAAGAAAAACATTTCTTAAATGTTGACACCACACAGTTCAAAGAGAAAAGTTTTCTTCAGTTTTAAACAGAGCAAATAGTTTGCTCCATGTGCCAAGCTGCTGCCTACATCACCTGTTCCTGAGCAGAAAATCATGCCTTGTTGATGTGACACAAGATTGTGAGGGTTGCAGATCAGTTAAATAAAGGAGTTAAAGTAGTTCAGAGGCATTCATTCACATTGGGGTGGGAATGGGTGGAAAGCAGCAGATGAGGACACTCTCTAATAAAGGGTAACCCCTTTTTGTGTGTCAGAATTGGGGCTGCATGCCACAAGGAGGTGCAGAAAGTTGGGTGACTGTCATATAGGCTTCAGAAAAGCTAAGGAAAATAAACAATAGGTCATATTCTTGTTTTGTATGCCACCTGTGTGCCTACAAGAGGATTTTCCCCAATCAGGGGCAGCAATTGTGATTCAGTGTCTTCTGCCCTTAGACCTCACTTACCAGGGATAACTCGATGCCTCACAAGATTGAAGGGTACCTTTCCAGGGATGCACATTTCTCTGCTTGTGACCATAATCTCATATCTCACATATGACTGAGGAGTTAAAAGATCGCTGGAATGATACTTTGATTATCAGAATATGGTTTAAATTTTGGACTTCTGGATTATTAAATCCTCTCTTGAGCAATTTCAGTTCTACATACCAGTTCAACCTTATGTGTTCATAATTCATCAGTGAGGTACTAATGCAATTTATTCTTGCAAGGCATTACACAGAATACATCACTTCATGCATGACTTCACAGTCATTAGGGCTGAAATTGCCACACAAACCCCATCTTGAACTGCTCTGCATCATTACACCTTGCAGTATTTGGCAAGGAAAGCCCAGTGTTTGCAAAAGATACGTAAAAGGAGGATTATTCTTCCTGAATACTGGATAAGATAGGAATAAAGACAAAAATGATCATGCAAGAAAAGGATTACTTAGTGCAATGCAGCCAATTTACTCAAGAAAACGGATGGAATTGCAAAGGGAAGGCATTACTTCAAATAGGATTTGGGGCAAGGCTAACAGGTGCTGGGGAGCACTCAGGTCAGATGAAGACATCTGCTAGAGATGTCAAGAGCACAAAGGTAACTCTGTGTCTGGGAGTAGAGGGAAGGATAAAAATGACAACTGAACAGGAAATGTGGAAGACTGGGACTGCAGAGGTACATCCCAGCAAAGAAGCAGGGTGTCAGATGGCAGAGTAAAATACAAACAGACACACAAAAACTGTGAATGCAGACACTTGTGAGGAGCCTGGGGAAAAAAAAAAAAAGAAAAGAAAGAAAAAAAAAGGAAACAGGTGCACTAGTAGGCTGGATGACTGGCACAGAGGGATGATGATAACCTAAAAGCATTTCTAAAATGTGACAGGGTGGTAATATTAAGACAGAATATCCTTCCATCAGTCTTTATAAGTGAATGAGATGTCTTTTGAGATGCTTTCGAGCTCCTATACACACTATAGACTCCACTAAATGCAAGCTGACCTATTGGCTACATTGCATAGGAGATCTGATAGGATGTTTTCAATGACCCTGTGACTAAAAAATAGAAATGAACCATTATAATATGACATATGGGCAGATCAGCTTGCACAAATGAAGCAATTTATATCAGCAGTTCTGTGAGCTTTTAAGTCATTGAAAACTGATCTTTTTCCTTTAATAGTCACAAATGTGTGACTATGTTTAGTCAACTTACAGTAAAAGCATACCAAAACATATGTATTCATACATTTAAATGAGTGGGGAAAAAAAGAGTTAAAAAAAATCTGCCAGAGCTTTTATGCAATATACTTTTGTTTAGTACAAAGACACAGAACCCCTTCAATTAATTGTTGAATGTTTGATCATTGATATCCTGTCTTTTGCAAGCAAAAGCTCCCATGTAAGAAATTCAAATAAGGCACTTCTGAGTATAGAAGCTTTCAGCTACTTTCAGTTTACTTATTTAGGTTATTCCACGTGTTGGAGTTCATCCTTCTCACATCAAGACATAAAAATAACCTGTGTGATGGACTTTAATAAAATACAATAAACAGAGCCAACAGAGTAAATTGTAAATTGAAAGTAAACACTTATGATCAGTAGTATCATATGATACAACAGGATTTATGAAACAGATCTCATCAAAACACTTGATTAGTTTCAAAACCATCTATATCTAGAACATGTGCAAAATCACACTGTCTACAAGAGAATTGCTTTTGCAATGGGTAAGCACAGCTTTGCTCCTGATTTCTGTGCAAATAAATGTTCATAAGATAAGAATCCATTTCCACTTATTCTGTTGCAAAAGTCTCATTTGTAGCAGTGGTACAGGACAAGGTGCCCACCCAAGCACTCTTGAGGTGTCCCAGACACCCTTCTCAACCTACAAGCAGAGGTACTTCCTTTCTTGTAGGTGATTCTTGCTCTTTTTGTTGTCCACACCAGCAAATGAGCAGTGCTTTTAATCTTAGACACTTCTTGTGATTTCTGGTGCACTTAGACTCCAAGTTTTGAGTCTGAACCACACTATGCATCCCTCCATGTGAAATTCATGGTCAAGAACCGTCTCTTGGATGACTGATATTAAACCAGCCATTTCTCAAAAATGGCAGTCAAAGGAGGAAAGGATGGCCTCATATTTCTGACATGGCCAGAGAATACTCTCTTGGCCTTTATGAGAACAAATGCAGCAAGGTTTATCCAAGTCTAGGAGCTGCTTCATAGATGTGACCCTGATCAACAGTAGGTGTTTCTTTGGAACCTCAAAGTTGATGTTTCACTTTCCGAAGTAGTGCCTAAACCAGACTATCTCGTAGGTATTTCCTTAAAGCTAGCTAAGCTTTTCCACTCTATTCTGACTTCTATGGATTATGCTTTCTGGCACTTTCTCTCTTTGTGATTTTATTTCACTACTGACTGAGACACAGATTCCTCTAATCTAATGTCAGCAGGCAGAAAGATGAATGTGTAATCCAAGCTGGCCCTCTCAGCTGCCTCTATGGTAAGCAGAGAGGAACTGGTGTTTTCAGACAGAGCCACAGCCCTTACCACAACAGTCCCATCTCAAATGCCAGGCTGGATCCACTTCTAAAAGAAAATTATAAAAGAAACAAGGTAAAAGGATATTGTGAAATATGGTACCAGTTTGAAGATGTTAGTTTCCCAGTTTCTACTCAACAACATGAAGAGGCTTTTGAATGCTTTACCTAAA